TGTATTTTTGAGGTTTATTTGATTATCTTGCTGTTTTTGTCTACATTCAGAAATACTATGTCCGTATCGTCGGCAATAATTACACCATTTTTTGAAAGATGGTTTGCCTTTAAAGTTTGGGTGTTTTTCGTATATATTGAGTATTTCAGTGATTTTTTCAACGAGGTCTGTATCTGATTCCTGTATATTGTTAATATTTGTGGAAGCTGTTTCAATTCTGTTAACGTATTGTAATTTCAGATTTTCCGTTTCTTCGAGTTTCATTGTGATTTCTGCTTGTTCTAATTTGTCTGCTAGTTTTCGAAAATCTAAATCGGGTTCTCAAATTGAAGAAGGATGGGATGCTCTCTTTTTTATTGCTATTTTCCTTAATTGTGGTGTTAAGGTCATCATTAAGATTTCTGTCATCTTTGTGTTTTTATAGTCGTGTGTATTTAGTGAATATGCTTTTCGAACTAGTGTTTCGATTCGTACTGCTAATTGCTTGATGGTTTCGTTTGGTAATCTGCGAATTTCATTACATAAAACTCTTTGTTGTTGTTTGTTTCTTTCAGAGTCAAACATTTTTGAAAATTCCTGTGTAAACCTTTTCCAATTTGATTTTATTTCTGGAGGTAATACTGAAAACCATTTTTGGGCTGCGCCATCTAAGGTTGTTTGTATCAACGCTGTGCGTCGATGTATCCAGTTTTGATGTAGTGGCGTATTAATTGGTTCAGGTCCAATGTTTAAAATCAAGTTTGCTGTTACTGCATTTAAATAATCTTCTACAGAGTATTCAGGGTCTGTTCCTGTGAAAACCGTTAAAGGTTTATTTGATGTTATTGATGATCCACCCATAAGGTATGGATTCATTGTCATTTGTAATGATTCTGCTGCATTTGGCATTTGAGAAAAATTTGAAAGTTGGTTTCTTGTTATTTCATGTTGTTGAAGATAATATGGGAGTGGTATTTCATTTTGCATTTGTGTTGGTTGATACGAGTGTGCAATCATTGGATTTTGTTGTTGAATTGGTTGAAAAGATTGTGTATTAATTGGATTTTGTTGCTGAATTGGTTGTTGATGTTGTGTATCTATCGGTTGTGGTTTCTGTACTCCTTGTCCACAATATTCTTGAGTATATGGTGCAAATATGTCTGGTTGTAAGAAATCATCATCTGAGGATAAATAATCCATTTGATAAGATGTCTGTTTTTTATTTTTATTTTGTTGAAAAAATGGGTAATTTTCACTGCGATCCTGTGGAGGATTTGTTTGGAAATTTACTGAATTAGGTTGGGCCATTGGGTTATCCCAGTTTCGAGATCTTGTATATTGGTTAAAATTTCTTCGTGGTTGATAATTTGTTTTTGATGGATGTGTATAATTATAATTATGGTCTGCAAAGTTGTTTCTAGTGAATGTTTTGCGTGTTTTTGGTGGAATTGTCATGGGTCTGTATGTTTGGTAATCCATAAGTGAATATTTTGGGGCAACCGAAGGTTTAACGGTTGATTGTAAGGTTACCTGTGTTTGTGAAGGATTTGTATTTCTTGGTGTTGTTAAGTTTGGACGTATTGGTGAAATACTTTGTTGTGTAGTTGTTGTGTGTACAATTTCTTCATTTATGAAGTGTGATGGTGTCTGGATATCTTGTTGAGTAAAATTCCTAGTTCCATTGAGGTTTTCATTGTGTATGACTGTAGAATTTAAACTATTATTTTGTGTATCGGGCAAAAATGTATTATAGTTTAATGGTGTTGCATCAATGGTTAATGGTATTACTCTTACATAATCTCTTTTGTAAGATATCGTACTTATTGCTTGACTTGCGATTGATTGTGGGAAGCTTATAAATGCGGGATGAGACCATTCGGGGTCCCAAACATAGTCTGATTGTTCTGTGATAGCAGTATCATCGTTCGAGTTTTGGGGTCTAAAATTTTTTCTTGCTTGTGCAATTAAATCAATATTGTGTGTGAAATAATCTATTATGAACCATGCCAAAATTTTTTGTAGATCGTGTTTTGTATGTTGTGAAACTTCGTCTTTCGCCAAATTTTCTTTAATGATGTTTAAATAACTAGAGAGTAGTGTGATTTCATGTCGTACTCTTACATGTTTAGATGTTTCTGTCGGTGAGACATTTGGTATTGGGATTTCGTTTTCTAATATCGAGATATAACTATATATTATTGCGAAAACTTCATGGGTGAATATGGAGTTTGCTCTTTGTGAGTTATGATATTGGATGCTTTTTATATATTCTGAAAATACTTTTGAAAATTCTAAATCAAGATCGTCTGTTTGAATTATATATTTACTATGATTAAGGTTTGGTGAGGTGAATTCTATGGAGTAGATTCCATACTGTTGTGTTAAGTTACATATATCTTTTAGATAGTGATCTATGATTTGTCTTTTGATTTTTACATCTGGGAACTCTGTTTTACATGGACTGATTCCGGGTTCAAATAAATTTAAGAGTAAATTTTTGCAAAATATATGTTGTCCTCTATCAGTGGTTGCATCTACTATAAAAGGGAAGATTTCATCATCATCTGGACTTTCGTCACCTGGGGTGTGCGTTGAGCTCATTTTTTCGTTCGATGACTGTTAATATGTAATTATTAATGTGTCGAATTGGTTGATTCCAATTGTATAAATGTACTGGTTTGTGTTTATACTGCTTTTTTATTCTTCTTTTTCCTCTTTTTGATGAATTTGAAGTTGTTTCTGAGTCAGAGAAATATAATTGATCGTGAATTGGGCAATTTTTATCTATTGATTCTTTTAGTTTGTAAAGTTCGTCTAAACTGTTGGTTTCTGATTCTGAAAATGCGTTTCGGTTTTTTGAAAATCTTTTTCGTGTTATTTGTCTTTGTTTAGTTATTATTTTTCTCTTTAGTGTTTGTCGTTTTGTTCGAATGTATCCAACTGTTTGTGTATGAGGTGTGATTACAAGGTCGTATTTTTTGTTATCTATTTCACAATTGTGTAAAACGATTGTTTGTTTATTTCCTAGGTTTTTAAATGACATAAGGTTTAAGATGACGGATGCAAAAGGTTGTTAAGTGAATTCTAATTGCTTAAACTGTTAGTCCTTACGATTTTTTGGTTAGCTTAACCTGGGTCTATTTGTTCAGGGTTGGAGAGAAAAGTATATCTATTCCGGAGAATGATTTTTACTTTCTCGTGACTAGTATAAGCTAAGGTGTTAACTTACTTAATCTTACTTAGGGGTAGTGATTGTGTTCAAGGGTTGGAGAATAGTAAATCGATCCACAAGGTTCAGGTATAATTAGAACGCGAGTAGTTCGTTAGATACTATTTTAAACTTACTAAGTCTAAGATTTATCCTGGGTCTGGTAAGAGGGGGGAGTCAAGTGAAGGATGAATAACCGAAGTTCTTCACTGTTTATCCTAATTTGAATGATTAGTTTTGTTTAAAAATTTCTATTAGTCTTGGGTCTTTAGAAAGGGTTGGATAGTGAATCGACGTTTGAGGTCGTTAGACACTAGTTAAGTGGGTGGGGGAGAACAAAATTGTTCATTTTGATCCAAGGATAGGCCTTGATGATCAAGTTCGAAATTTAGTTAACTAGATAATGATTTAAGATCCAAGGATAAGCCTTGATGATCTGATTTTAAAATTAAATGAATTTAAGTTTTAATAAAGATTTAAATTTATGTAAAGAAAAGATTTAGTGTTTTGATGATATTAGTGAGCTTATGAATGCTGTTATGTTTTAGGTGATGAAGCTGGAACAACAGAATGATTTATGATTACTAACCATTTATTGTCATGCTACTAATTTTTATTTTTATTTTCCAATAAATATTTTTCAAACATGTTTTGTATATTACTGCAGAGTTTAGGAAAACGATCTGAGATCTTTTTATCAATCGTTATTGTGTATTAATAATTTTGTTTAGCGCCTGAAATGATTTTGAAGATTAACTTCAAGGTTTTATGTTTGCAAATGAAAATCTAAATTCATTGCCAGTAGTATTCTAAATATAAAAGTTTGTTCTGGTTTTTGCCGAACTATCATATAACTATATGGCAAGTTTCTACTTTGTCGTATGTCGTCTCTGGTTCGAGGTCTTCTTCCAATTCCGGGTAGTTCTGTTATGGTTCGGAATATTGGCTCTGATCTATTGAGTCGTAGAGACATTTCGATTAAATTATTGTCGTATAACATTTTGTAAATGTTTTTGTCTAATTTCTAATCTATTTTGGTTAATTCTAAGCTATTAAGGTCTTGTTCGAGACTTATGGTCGCACCAGATGAGTTATGACCGATGGGTATAACTCATAGAGTAATTTCGGATAGGGTACACCGTCTGCTCGTCACGCTATCTTATTTTCGGCCGGATAGATTCGTGCAACTTCTTAGTCTAATACCGATCCTAATCTTACTCTTATACTATCTAGTCTCAGGTTGTTTAACTAGTCTCTGCTAGGCTCAATAGATCTAGGGTATACTGGTTTATTGCGGCTGCTGAAGTACTCGGGAGAGTTCAACTAATTTCTAAGTTAAATTCAAATCTCTCTGGTGCTGAAATTACAAGTAATTTCAGCACTTACAAATAAGTGGGTTGTTAGTTAGATGGATCATGATTGGTTAATATTAAATACTTTACATTGGTAAAATATCTAATTTATCCAATCATAAAATGTAGTTTAGATCAGGTTCCACTACTGCTGTTGATATATAAAAAATGTCATAAATGTCGAGAAATAAATTAACTTCCTCCAGTTTTGCCCAATGAGCTATTTTTTTATTGTGGCACTTTGAACAGAAATCAAAATAATTGACCCGCCCGGTCTCATCAATAAGAACCCTCTTATAAGTATAGTAATAACAGGTGTTTTTTTCCGACAAAATGGTTTAATGGTTCAAATAAGGGAAAAAAGACAAAAAACTCCTCGCCCATTGAGTGGTCGGATCCGAAACCATTATGGATGTACCCCCTACAAACGCTTTTCTTATCAATTCCTTTTATTACTATAGGCAGATATCCGATAAGGACTGGTATGCAGCACAAAGTGGTCATAAACAGGCAGAGGATGGGACTGCCTCTCCACTTGAAACTCCTCCCACAACACCTCAACGACCTCGGATACCTCAGCCACGCAGTCGGCAAGTGGCACTTAGGACACTTTCACGAGAGGTATACTTCGCACGAAATGAACATCAATTTGCTCAATCAACTGAGCTATCCGTTCGAGATGGATTCAACAGTGCTGATTTAAATTATCCGGACAAAACGAACAACAAGGGAAATTTTATTAGCGATTTCTCAAATTGGATTGAGATTAGATAAAATGAAGAGATTGGAAATTGCTAAGAATTTTACCAGAATTAGTATGGTGCTACTTTTATGCGAAATTCAGAACCAAATTTTCACCCCAAAAATGGGTCTTATGGTTTTTTATTGTTAATCAAGAATTACGCTGAAACTACTTGGTCGATCATTAACATAATTACGTCAAAATGAGTATCTTACGTATCCCAACAAACTCCAGAATGGTATACACCTCAAAAAATTGCGCGAAATGTTTAAAAAACGTTTTAAAATAAAAAATGGTGTTTTATATAGTAAAAACGACCATTTTTATCTTTATAAAAAAATAAAATCAGTTTATACAATTTTTTGGAGTGTTTACCTTTATTAAAAATTGTTGGATTAAGTAAGAGGCTCACTTTCATTTAAATATGTAAATGGTCGACTAATCAGTTTCAGCGTGATTCTTGATTAATTAAAAAAAGAAAAAAAGTTGGGTTATATTTTGGCCTTGAATTTTGCAAAACAAATTCTGCTGAAATTCTAAGCAGTTTGGTATTCATCTTTTTTCACCTGAAGTTGACCCATGTTGAGTAAAACGCGTTTTAAATTTCAAGTTAAATGCGTTTCGTCCTGATAATTTAAATCAGCACTCTAATCTTAAAAACTGAAGCGCGTGTGCTCTTTGATGTGTCAGCTTAATGAGTGCCATGCCTTGCTATCGAGAAAAAGTCATGCCATAAGATTTTTTGATTTTTCAATACGTTTGTACTTTCTTTTGCCAGCTGAATACTTCATCAATGAACTGGTTCGGTTTTGGAAATGACTCAAGGGAAGAATCACTCTTAATAGTTATAAAAACTGCTATACACTTTATGCTCCAAGATTTGTTCCAGATCTGCAAGTTGTTTTTGGAGATTCAAAGTCGCGTCATTGTTAATTTCGCGACCGAAATTTCCTAGTTTGGATATATTTTTAAAAAAAATTGCGTAATGGTTCTAGAAATATCGAACCGGAAACATCTCCACCAACTACGTAGTAGTAAACAGACAACAGCGAATTAATACTCGTCAACAAAAAGACAAACACTACGTTAACCAATAAGAATTGAAATGAGAAACACAGCCAAAAGACAGTTTGAAAAGAGTCGTAAATCGCTAGCATACAGAAAAGAAAAACTGAATTGTTTTTTGAAAAGCATATCAGCTTCATAGTTTCAAAACAAAAAGTATATCGCTTTACAGCTCTAAAAGAACAAACAAGGGTTGACACTGTTTTGATAAATTTAGCTGAGAAAATTGGATCAATAAATAAGATTTTTATTCCCTTGGGAATCTAAAAAATATATTTCTCTTTCGAAATAGGAAGTCGAGTTTATGTTTCGGCCGAATCGACCAAAAAATAGTATGTTTCCACAGCCTCGACCCAGACTCGATGTTTTTGACCAACTCAAACCATGCTGTATATGCCTTGATTTTGCTCGAGGTAGTACGCCCAAGGAAAAACGTTTTGACCGAATTTGACCCAGGAGTTTTTGAACCGATAAGTTACGGCCACGGAAAAACATTTTGACTGGGCTCGGCCGAAGGAAAACGTTTCCAATGACTTACACCGAGGAGCTTTTTGACCCAGAAGAGTTTCGACCGCAAAAAAAAAACATTTCGACTTCGTTCGACGGAGGAAAAACGTTTTGACTGAGTTCGACCGAAGGTTTTTCAACCTTAAAGTGTTTCGACCAAGAGTAAAAAATTTCGACTGTGCTGTAAATTTGTGTTCGACTTCAACTTTATGCTTTGACCTTGTGTTCGACTTTATCTTTTGACTTCATGTTAGCTTTGATGTTTCGACTTTGTGTTTGACTTTATGTTTCGAATTTGTGTTCGACTTTAGGTTTCAATTTTGTGTTCGACTTTATGTTTCAACCGACTGGACTCCATGTTTCGATTTTGAGCTCGACTATAGGGCACTCTCGAGTATGGATTTTTGGTCGAACTATGGCAAGTATTCGAACCGCATCGGTCGAAACATAAATCGCAAACTTCGACCCGGCAAGTCAAAAAACTTAGAGTTTTTAGCAAGCGTTTGGTTCACGAGCCGATGCAAAAATTGCTTTCACTTGGCTAAGTCATGTCAACTAATCAGGAGCAAAATAGGTAATCAGCTATAAATATTAAATCAAACGACCGGAGTTTCAAAATTTTAGAGCAATTTTAATACTAAAGATAGTTATAAGACAACCAATATGCCGGAAAAAAAAAACAATATTAAGTTTTGAAAAATCTGCTCAGCAACGCAACTAACCTGTACAACAAGACTGCTCGTATATCAGGAAAAAACCTGAATGTTTCAATTGCCCCTTAAAGCTGGTGATAAGGTTTTGCTTCAAATATCTCAAAAAAAACTAATCGTATCAGGGCAAAACCTTGAATGTTCCTTCCGAGTGTCCATAAACTGGTCACGAATAGTTTTTGGTTAATGAATTACTGACAAAATTTGAAATGTCAGCTGAATATTATGAACCATGTATGGAATAAATAGGACTATTAGTCTGCTTCAATTGAAATGGGATTGATTTTATAGTGAGGGATAATTTGCCACGCGTCAATAATGCGCGTTATTTTCTCACCATCAAAGAAAGTATCACAGGGCTCTTATAGTCACGTTAGTCTATTAGTGAGGGTTGCTCAGCAATTTTTAAGTCAACGCAGTCTAGTGGTGAGCGCGACCCATCTGGTACCACGAAGGGAAATATTTTTGGCAAGTGATCCAAATAAAAAAACGACCCCGAGCTTATCTATTATTTACTTTCTTCAAAACTTGGAACAAAAATTGCTAGCTTCAATTTAATGTTATAAAAACGCATTATATTGAGTGTTAATTAAGTTTAAAATTTAAATATGACTTTTGACTAGAAAATTAAAATTTGACTAGAACATTTTCTTGCGAACTCTGAAGAGGGACCACATGATGAAAAAATTTCAACCAATCAACCCCCCCCCTACCACCAAATGGACCAAATTAAGATCATCCACCCGAGCGTTCGATTTAAATTAAATTTGCTGAGCGCTGCGTGTAAAATGCTATTCTGATTGGCGAAAAGTTCGAACTTGGAACCAAGTTAACATTCTTCCCCCTAAACGTGTTCGGGGGAAGGATTTTACCTTGTTTCTTCAAACTTTCTTCAATCGGTATCTGTACAAAGCTAAACTTTTTTTACTATGTCTTTGATCTGGCAATGTTTGAAAATTCATTTAACAGCCATCTGCTAACTTTGTAATCTAACCGGTCAGTATTAGTTTTTCTGGCCTGAATTAATTTGATTACTGTGAGATTTTTGTGATTTTGTGAGATTATTGAATACTCAATTCTGATTGGCCGAAAATGACTGAAAGTCAATTTCCATCATTCGGTTCCTCAATCATGAAAGACGCCAAACATTCGTGTTAAAATAAGAATTGACCTTCACTGCGCTTACGCATTTTTCAGTAGCAACGGAGAAACTGCTCGAAATCGAAAGGGGGTCTAACGATGATCGTGTGACGGGGGGCTATTCTTATGCGCAAAGGACCGAATGGGCGAAAAAACTCATGGGCGAAGGATCGAAAGCAAAATTAGCCAAAAGTCAATTTTTAATAAGGAGCACTTGCTATTCAATTAAAATGAATTAAATGAAGCAATACTTTCATAACGAAACCCTTGAAATAAAAAATTTGTTCCAATTCGGCGGTGGTCAGTGACACTTTGAAAATTTTGCATATTTCTGCCGTTTTTTTACATTCGGTCAATATTCAATATCAATATTCAGTCCCTGGAAATGTTTACAGTGCTGATTTAAATTATCCGGACAAAACGAACAAAACTTGAATTTTCAAACGCGTTTTTCTCAAATTGGGTCAAGATTAGACAAAAAGTGAAGAGAACAAAAGTTGCTTAGATTTTCACCAGAAATAATATGGTGCCATTTTTTCTCCGAAATTCTCAACAAAAACTTTACCCCAAAAATGGGTCAATTTGGCTTTTTTCAATTAATCAAGAATTACGCGGAAACTACTTTGTTAATTGATACAAAAGTTATAACACAGGAAGCCTCTTACACAGCTCAACAAACTTTAATATGGGTTAAATCTCCAAAAATTTGCGCAAATTGTTTAAAATTTATTGTTTATCAGAGATTCTGGGCTTTATATAGTAAAAAACACATTTATTGACTATCAAGTGAAAATTTTTTCTCTTATACTGGTTTTTGGAGATTTAACCCTTTTAAAACTTTGTTGAGCTGCGTAAAAGGCTTCCTGTGACATAATTTTCTTATCAATTAACAAAGTAGTTTCCGCGTAATTCTTGATTAATTGAAAAAAGCCAAATTGACCCATTTTTGGGGTAAAATTTTTGTTGAGAATTTCGGAGAAAAAATGGCACCATATTATTTCTGGTGAAATTCTAAACAACTTTTGTTCCCTTCACTTTTTGTCTAATGTTAACTCAATTTGAGAAAAACGCGTTTGAAAATTCAAGTTATGTTCTTTTTGTCCGGATAATTTAAATCAGCACTGTACTTTCTTTCCAAATTGTAGATTACTGAAATCTGATTGGCTGATTTTTATTTTCGCGCCTTCGGTCCTTCGCGTATGAGGGATTCTACCCATGTGATGTACCTATTAGCATGCGATAATTGTTTTAATGAAAAACATATTAGCCTAAATTTTCAAATAGCTTCGAAAAACGTTTCATTTTTTAAAGAAATAAAAATTTCACTTTCGTCTAATTAAAAATTTGGCTAAGTGTACAGATACGTGATCCTCGCGTTAATTTTTATGGAACGCTCAGTCCCGGTCGTAAAAAAAATGCACTCTTTTTGGACGAGGAATAAGATAATTTATTTAGTTTTATAAGGGTGCTCGTTTTTCGCACTTGATTAAACTCTTTCACGATTTTGTTCAATGTATGGGCCTGGAACATTTCGGCCACTTGACTCCAATCATTATAATATTCATTAATCAAATCATTAACACTATCATATATAATTTCAGCTTCCTACCCACATCAAGAGGGTTTGAGTCATTCTATGGGCTATATAATGGTAAAGGAGACTACTTCAGTCATCTCGACACAGAATTAGGGATGACTGGACTCGATTGGCATTTGGACGAAGGACCCAACCGAACCGATCTCCACTCGGAGCTGGGAGAATACGCGACTAGAGCGTTCGCCACAAGGGCAGACCAATTGATAAGTGAACATGATTTCGAAAGGCAGCCGATGTTTCTGTACATGGCATTGACTGCTCCGCATTCTGCTTTGCCACATGATCCGCTTCAAGTGCCGTTTCAGACGGAGCAACAAGTAACGGTTGGTAAAAATGCGGAATAAAAACTTTACTTCATCGAAAGAAAAATTGATTAAAACATTAATTTTGTTTCTTCATTTATTCTGCCTAATGATTGGGCACGCATTTGAACTTTTGTCTAAAAATTTGTGCCTGAAAAAAAAACATTTCACAAAAATTTGGGTAAATTTGGGTGCGTTCGGTCAAAAAATTATTAAGAGGTGGATTTATGATTTTTTGGTGGGTGGGCGGATACGCACTTTTTAAAAACACAGGCCAAAATGCCATTTCTAGACAAATTCTGGAAGATTGACTCAAATCTCCTCAATGGTGCCACGCAAAAAATTCGATAGTTGGTTGAAAATGGACGGTGTAAAAAGGAGATCAGGGGGGTCGAATCCCTGAAAGAAGGGCGCTTCCCCTCCCCTGGACTTAAGTATTTGTAATCTTCTCAGTTCACAGCAATTGATCCCATTACTTCTTCATATATATTTTGAAAGATCTATTCATGATCACAGGGCCCAGAAGAAACACCAAGGATGCTGCATTTTGTGAATAACAACCATGATGTTTATAATTATAATGGTTCAATCCTTTTCGACCTTCATTTTATTTTTAAAAAATTTAACTTGTAGGGAACGTATCACACGCAAAGACGAAAGTATTTGGGTATGCTAAAAGAAATGGACGACTCGATAGGCCGAATTGTCGCATCTCTGAAGACCAAAGGAGTCCTAGATAATACAATCATCATCTTCAGTTCCGACAATGGAGGTGCACCGAACGGGTTCCAATTTGGATGGGGTTCCAACTATCCTCTGCGATCTTCAAAGGGTTTCTTTTATGAGGGAGGTTGTCGAGTTGCCGGGTTTGTTTGGGGTACTTTGTTTGCACGAAGAGCTGGACAAGTGGCTACTGAAATGATGCACATTTCTGATTGGTTGCCGACGTTGTACGATTTCGCTGGAGGAAATGTCGAACACTTAGAAGACATTGATGGCTTTAGTATGGTCGATGTTTTAACATGCCGCAACTTGACTTCGCCAAGAACAGAATTTGTTCTTAATTTTGACCCCCTCGAAAACGCAAAATCTATGAGAGTTGGAAAATATAAGTATCTTTTGAACCCCGAGGACTTCTTCGTGCATAATGATTTGCACGATTGGTACCAGGCTCCCGGAGAATATCCAGGCACTAATGAAACTATGATTCCCAATACGCATCCAGCTCAGATAACATGTGAAAACATGCCCCAAGATATTGATTTGAAGTGCTTTTCTCAGATAAGTCAACGTTACGAGTGTTTATTTGACATCGACAAAGACCCGTGTGAGTTTCATAATCTGATAGACGATGAAGGTTATGCGGAAGTGAAGGAAAAACTTCTGGAAAGAATTGAGTACTGGGAGGGCAAACAAGTTCCTCCAATGAGACCCCCGGTTGAATGGGATGCGAATCCGAAATTCTTCGACCATACCTGGAATCCCTGGACTAATGATCCAACTATTCATCCGACTGAACCTTACACGTGCCACCCTAAACACTGTCCACCTGACACAAAAATCAATACCAAAAAATTGGAGCTTTAGTAAATGCAAAAAAAAAAGAAACATCAAATTAATATTTGCTATAAGTTTTAATAAAAAATGAATGTTTGTTTCTAAGTCTTATTGCAGCGACATCCCAGTTGGTCTAGCGGTTAGGATTTGTGGCTTTCACCCACAAGGCCCGGGTTCGACACCCGGACTGGGAATTTTGTTGTGCTTTGGATTTTTCTAAATTTAAACAATGAGGCTCTCTCTTTTCAAGTTCCCCCTTTCAAATTCGTTTTTTAAAAGCGTAATTAACGTTGTCATAATGCAATGAATTTTGGCATAGTGAACTAACTGTGAACAGATTTGGTCATGCTTCACATCGCAACATCACGCACTTAGCCGTAATAACATGTAAAATAAACAAAGAAATCAATTTTTTGAAAGGTGGTTGAGGGGAGTGGAAAAAGCCCATAATGAGATGCCAAAAAGCTACAAATAGGGCTCTAACTGAATTGCGGAAAACAAACTAAAGACCTCCCTAAAATTATAATTCGTTTGAATTTTGAAGCACAATGCTAAACTTGTTATATTGCTAGGAAAATTTGCATGGCAAACGAGTTAATCAATTTGAGCAACAATTTTAATTTTTTGTTTTTACACTACCGAACTTTAGTGAGCGTTAGAGAGGGAAGGGTGTGAGATTCCAAATCTTGAGGTCGCAAGTTCGACGCCCATCCGTACCAAATTTTACTTATTCAAGCCTTAGCTCTATCTTTTCTTATTTCACTTTTAAAATTTTTTTTGTCGTGTTCTCGCTTGTGTTTGCGAAGCTCAACTTCGCCTCTGTGCGGCAAATTCAAAGAGTACTATAGAAAAGTATTACACAAAAGCAAGGCCGAGCGTCACACCTATTTCGATACAACAAAAACAACATAGCCAATCAAAGATTGGAAAAGAGCAATGAACGCAAGCAAACATAAAAAAAATACTTTGATGAAAAAATCTCAACATTCAAGTTTCAAAGAAAAAATAGATGCCCTTTAAGCTCTTTGAATTTCTCGAACGATTTATGATTGGCGCTTTTTTGATAGCATTAACCCAATTTGAGAAAACTGGATCAACAGGTAAAATTTTTTTTCCGCTGGAAATCTATAAAATAAGCTCCACTTTCGAAACTTGAAACCGCTCACGTTTTTTTGCGCCATTTTCACGTTCGTATTTGGAGAGTGCTATTTACGTCACTAAAAGCAGATGAATTTCAATTGAACTATACCTAATTCATATATACCTAAGTGCATTCATAAAGGCATCAATATGTATGAATGCACATCTGTAGTTATTAGAGAATTTTACGACTTTTCCTAGAAAAAAACAGCAAGACCTATATAATCAGTTTTCACTGCGTTCATTTCTCTTAATAAAATAACATTAGAAATAAAAAAAATGAAAAATTTTGAAGAAAACTAGGTGAACCAAAACTTTTGTATGTTGCGGTAAAAGATAATTAGGAGCCCAGCTAAACCTGCAAGTACCTGCTTGGTTTTAATGAACTTGCTATACTGATGCACAAAAGTATCGGTAGTTTCGAAAACTAGTATTTGAGCAAAACCTGTGATCTCTACTAAAATTCATGGAATGTTTTGAAAAAATGGAATATTCCTAAGTTCATTACCAAAAACTATTCTGTATCCACTTCTGTCGTTCTCGAACTAGTTCATTCGATTGAACCCTTCATTTCAGATTTGATATAATCAGTTTTCAAGAAAAATCGAAAAATTTTGAAAAAAAGGTCAACGAATAAAAAGTTTGGTTTTTGCGAAAACCTTAGTTTTCTCTGAAAAAAAATTTGGCCGTAGCCGTTTATGCACAAAAGATTCACGCAACCTGTTATTTTGATTGAATTAAAAACTCAGGTGTTTGCTGGTAGCTTCCAAGAAAATTTAAATAGCTTCGAAAAACGGAAAAATCCGTTGACTTTTCCAAGGGCCATAACTTGTGAAAAAAATAGGGTCAAATTTTTTTTTCAGTAGACAGAGAAGTAAAATTTTTTCGAAGACTATAGAAAGAGAAGTTGAATTAAGCGAGACCAAGGGAGTACGCAAGCACACAGGGGTGTAGGCGGTTTTTATACCCTTTTTTTGGAAATCAGTAGAATAGAATTTGAGAAAAACTAAAAATTTTGCAAAAAATTCCACAATGTATTAAAAAAATGTTTCTTTATCAAACAGGAATTCTAGGCAGACACGCCAAGTGAGACATTGGAATTTTAAATCACCAACAGAACAAAGTTTATAAGCGGAAACAAAGCCGACAATCTTTGAGCAGACACCAGTTGAGCAAAAAAAATTACTATATAAAAAATTCTAAAAAGTTTGCAGTCTCCCTGCAACTACAATGATTTTAAGCAGACAAAAAAAAATCCAATAAGTTTAGCATTTTTTGAAAAATTTATATATATATACTGAAAGAAAAACATTTTCCGGTGCGAAAACCCAAAAATTTATGGTTCAAAAGCAATCGCGTTAGGTCCAAGCCAAGTGGGTTGGAACTTGGAAAAATCGCTATGTGAAGAGAAAATGAAACAGAGCCAAAAACATCAATGATAAGTTTCCACTGATTAGCATGTTTTGCATTTCACAAGTGTTTTATCATGAATTTTACATAAATTTGGCATGCTTTATTTTTGTTTATCATGCCGAATTTCAATGCATTACTGCAACTGGCCTATAAATTTACTCCACAGTTTGTATTTTGTAAAGTCAACGTATATAGTTAACAACAAAACACTGATCGCGTTTGATTGGTTAAAATTTTGCACTCTTTTTTTTTCATTTAGCCGAGTCCCAAATATGTCTGATCGAACGAATGCAAGACCGGTAGAATAGTTTTTTTTCTTAGATCGATTTTTAAAATTTCTTTGACCAGGGAAAACTTTAACTAATATAACTACCGAAATTACTTAATGAGAAGGATGGTCACTTTTGGTCCTTTTGGCTGTTATTTAAATCTGTTAAATTGTTAGCAAAAATTTTTTAAGCTGATACGTGCTAGATGCAAAGTTTTCTAGAACACCGACGTTTGTTTTACCAGATCATTTTTAAAACACAAGGCTCGAAACAATTAGCATGTCAAAAGCCAACTTCAAACGACGTTTTGACAAAATACGACTGCTTGCTCCACGTCATTATTTTGCGCTTATTTTCGGTACAAAAACTTTTGTGCACGCGTATTAGTTTTTGTTTTTAAGTTACCTAGACTAGTGGACAAAACAAAGCCAAGTTTCAGTTTTTTTCTCTGAAATGATTGTTTTCATGGATAATTTTTGATTTCATTCAGTGGTAATTTAAACAAAATTTTACATAGACAAAGAGCAAATTATCAGAGCTATTCTCTATGGATATGTTACTGTTTACAAGTTTTAAATTTGCTTTCATCAACTTGAAGTACCTCAATATATAATTCAATTGCTTGAGTTTTTGAATGGGACTCAGCAAAAACGACAGGAACATACTTCTAAACGAGTACCCAAGCTATTATCTCAAAAAGTATCAAATGTTAGTTTCAAGCCGCCTTTATCGGTTTATTTTGGGTCGACAAATGCCAATTTTTTAAACTTCATTTAGAATTTTTTTAATGGCGAAGATTTTTCTAAATAAACGGAGTGAAAAATGATCATATGACCTAAAAAATTATGATCGAGTTTTTTGAATTATTCATTATGACAACGTTCCCAAACCTGGTTGATTTTATTAATACCATAGAATTGGAAGAATTTATTACGGAAGATGCAAATTGGCCTTTTAAGACCCTGAATAAACTGTTGAGAGCATAAAATCAAAAATTGATACTTTTTTGGAGGGTAGCTGAGAACAATTGCTCGAGGTCAAGTCATTTGTTTTTGAAATTTTAAGTAAATGCTGTCCATGCGGTATTTTAAATTAGGTAATTTAGAGCAAAAAACCGGAATTCGCATTTAATTCTGTGCAATGGTCCAAATTTCAAGCAATCTCGTTGCCATGGATGAATATTTGATTTTAAAAAAATGACCTAGTTAGTTTCCGCTTCAGTAAAACGCTGTGTGCCTGACGAGTTTCTGAAAAAAATTACAGCCAATCATCTCCACAATCACAAAATTGGAATCGGTCAGAAATTAATCTATGAAAAATACAAAAAGATTAAATTCAAAAATAGCATTTTAAATAATAGACTCACAATTTCTTGAAAGTCATCTTCTTTTGGCTTGCTTTGTGAAATAATTGATTCGGTGATGTTTCGAAAGTTCGTACCAGAGCGTCTGAGGCACAGACCAACATGCAAAACATCGCAAGCCACATCCTTGTTTTATCGGATTCAACCCAGAAATTTCATTAGTCTAAGTTCAAGAAAAAACGAATCACGCTCAATTTTCTGCCAAAATTTTATGCCCAGAATACTATCAAAGTCAAGTTCTAACAATTATCAGGCACCGGTTATATAACAAAAATAACTCATGTTTTAATTATGTTTAATTGCACCAATTTATTGCACTGATTTTTTGAACTGCACTATCTCTTGTACTTTGGTTTATGAAAAACCTCTGCATCATTACATGTAACGTAATTTATTTCAAAACAAAACAAATATGTGCAGCAAGTTTCTAAGCCACATTTGAAAAACTAGTGCAGTTTTTGAAATTATAATGCAGTATTCAAACACTAGTGCAGTAATAGAACAACTAGTGAAATATTTGATACAAATTTGCAATATCATTTCTAGAACAATCAAAAACGAATTTAAAAAAAGACGTGTAGCGTGAAAAGTTTCTCAAATGAGTGCGTTTTTTTTGTACATTTTTAGACCAGATATGCACTAGCTTATATTGCTTCTCGAAATTTGTTAACTCTTTGACACGTGTTTTGTATTGTTCTCGAAATGTCTCGATGCAATATATAGCTGATGCTTATCTACTACGCAGGCGAGAGTCAGTCAAAAGCACTAGCTTTTTCATAAATTAGTTTTCAAGTATTTTTGTTCCGACTGTCGAAGAAAACGGATTTTTTATGCTTTGTGTGGCTTTTTATTCATT